TAAAGACAATCTGATTGTGAAGGATGCTTAGAGGTTTTCTCCCAGGAGCCATCAAGGGCCAGTTATTTCTTTGGAATGTGCAGAGTTTGAACAACACAAACCCTCTGAGCTAACCCTTTACTGAACAATAAGAACATTATGAACAATTTTATGCCAACACATTCAACAACTTAGATGAAACAAAGAAATATCTTGAAGGAAAAACTACCAAAATCACTCAAGAATAAATAATCTAAGTAGGCCTTTATCTATCAAAAAAATTCAATTTGTAGTTAAAAAGTTTCCCAAAAAGGAAAATTCAGATGGGTTCACTGGTAAATTCTACCAAGTATATAAGAAAGAATTAATACCAATGCTACACAAGTCTTTCAGAAAATCAAAGAGAAGAAAACATTTCTCATTTGGTGAAACCAGTATTACCCTGACCCCAAAACAAGGGAAACATTACACAAACTTAAACTTTAGACCAATATCTCTCATGAATATATGCAAAAATTTTAGCCAATCAAATCCAATATACAAAAAGCATAATGTACTATACTACATCTAAGTAGAGTTTATCCCAGGATGCAAGAATGGTGTAACACTGGCCAGCTGATCAATGCAATTCACCATATTAAGAATCTAATAAAGAAAAATCATATTATCATGTCAATAGACCCAGAAAACACATGCAAGAAAATCCATTATCCATTTCTGATAAAAACTCTTAGAAAACTAGGAATAGAAAGGACATCAACCTAATAAAGGACATCTACCAAAAAAACCTAAAGCTAGCACCACACTTAACGGTGAAAGACTTTATGCTTTTCCCCTAAGATCAGAAACAAGAAAAGATACCCAATCTCATTTTTCTATTCAACATTATACTGGTGGGTCTAGCCAGTGCAATAAGGCAAGAAAAGAAAAAAAGGCATGTAGATTAGAAGAAAGAAAGAAGTAAAACTGTCGTTTGCAGACATCATGATCATCCAGGTAGAAAATCCAATGAAATCTACTTTAAAAAATGCTGCTACAACTATTAAGTGTGTTGGGCTTCCCTGATGGCACAATGGTTAAGATTCTGCCTGCCAATGCAGGGGACACAGGTTCAAGCCCTGGTCCGGGAAGATCCCACACGCTGCAGAGCAACTAAGCCCATGCACAACTACTGAAGCCCGTGTGCATAGAGCCCGTGCTCCGTAACAAGAGAACCCATGATGGTGAGAAGCCCGTGCACCGCAACGAAGAGTAGCCCCCACTCACCGCAACCAGAGAAAGCCCATGTGCAGAAATGAAGACACAACACAGCCAAAAATAAAAACAAATAAATACAAAATTAAAAAAAAAAACTAAAGTGTGTTTATCATCGTTGATCAACAAAAATTGATTTTATTTCTATATAGTAGACACAAAATATTAAAAATTGAATAAAATTGCTATTTACAATAGCATCATGTTATTACTTACTTACGGATAAATCTGATAGATGTGCAAGACATATATTGAAAATTATGGGATACTGCTGAAATGCTATTTTAAAGGCTTTATAAAACGGCATCTTCTTTTCAGCCTATTTTTTAAATAAATTTATTTATATTTTATTTATTTATTTTTGGCTGCGTTGGGTCTTGGTTGCTGCATGCAGGCTTTCTCTAGTTGTGAGCGGAGGCTACTCTTCGTTGTAGTGCACAGGCTTCTCACTGTGGTGGTGGAGCATGGGCTCTAGGTGCGTTGGCTTCAGTAGTTGTGGCTCACGGGCTCTAGAACGCAGACTCAGTAGTTGTGGCGCACGGGCTTAGTTGCTCCACAGCATGTGGGATCTTCCCAGATCAGGGATCAAACCCATGTCCCCTGCATTGGCAGGCAGATTCTTAACCACTGTGCCACCAGGGAAGTCCTTTTTCAGCCTATTTTTAATGTTTTTCTTAACCACTACCAGGGAAGTCCTTTTTCAGCCTATTTTTAATGTTTTTTATTTACTAAACCATGAGGCCATGGCTGCAACTAGCAATAAGTAACAAATGGGGTTCATAGAAACTCATACGGGAAAGGAATCTCAGAATATATAAGATGTGTAAATGTTTCAGTACTTAACTTTGAAAGGTTTCTTCTTTCAATATTTATGTGAGCGCTCAGTAAGTGTCAAACACATATACTGAGTAAATAAGATGCATCACCTGAACTTGTGGAGATATTAACTAGTAAAGGGAAACAGAAAATAAACAAATGCAAATAATTTAGGAGTTGTAATTGCTAAATGAAAATAATAAAGAACACAGAAATGTAGGTAAAAAACTGGGGTGCTATTTGGATAGAATAGGGTAGTCATTGAAGTCTAAGTGGACATTCAGGTCAAAACCTGAAGCAGAAAGAGCCAGCCAGATAAGGTAAAGATCATTACAGCCAAATGGAACAAGAGTTGGGAACGCCTTGGGTAGGGCAGTAGGGGATGCCAGGAGAGACTGGCATGTTCTAAAACTCCAAAGAAAGCCAACCTGGCTGGAGGG